GTTTGTAGTTAAGCACAAAGCTACACGATAGGCTAGCTGTGCTCTGCCCACCCCGGGTATCGAAACCCGATTTCTAGCGTTATATGATTCCTCAGTTAGGAACCCTCGCTGTTAGCGATGTTTTCGGCCGTAATCCTGTAATAACGGGAGGAGAAGTTTTGTTTGTTGTTAAGCACAAAGCTTCACGATAGGCTAGCTGTGCTCTGCCCACCACGGGTATCGAAACCCGGTTTCTAGCGTTATATGTCCGCAGACATACCGCTGTGCCCCTGGGGGGCTGGGAGGGGAAGCTCAAAGAAAATAGATTTTTATCAAGCTAGTTAAATATAAAAAACATTGTGATTTAGATATGAAAAGCAGTAAATACTCATTACTGACGCAATGACCTTAACATGTTGTTAAGGTTATATCAGAGTTATAATAATGTAGTTCAATTGAATTTTTGGATGTGTGTGTGTGTGTATCTTGATATATTTTTTTAAATAAAAACGAAAATTACCCACAACACACTCAATTTTGCTACTTTTAATAAGATATTTAGAAACAATAAATTTGCGGTTTGTTTAGAAGAAACTCTGGAAGACCTTTTATTTATCTTATTCACCGATGTTATTTTCAATCAATTTCTGATCAAACGTTGCAAATATTCAAAGCAAGAAAAAAATTATTACTTGTTTAAGTGTAAATTACACTGTTACCTAAAATAACGTGTAATCGGACTCATCGTTACTCACGAAAGTGGAAAAAATAGAAGCTATTTAAGGGTTTTTTTAAAAAAAAAATTACCAAAAAATAAATAAGATAAAACGCACCATACTCACCCTCTTTATAAAACAAGTTATGAAGCCAACAATAGGGTGAAACGAAGCACGTGGTAACAATTATAGTTAGACTTAGAAATCCCAGGCAGATTCCAATCACCAGGAATTTTTCATTGTTGGTCAAATGCAGTGCAGGATCTGTAAATAAAGTTGGATCATCTTTAAATTATGTCAACAGGGGGGGGGGGGGTAACAAAAACAAGAACTCTCATTTCATCAGAGTACGAGTTTAATGACAGACAGTTTACACAATTCGACGAATTAAATATTAGTTATAAACAGTTAAATAAAAATGTGTGTTTGATGGACCTATAATATTTCAATAATCTATCGAGGAGGGTGCGGACTTACAACGCTAGAATCCGGATAGCCCATTTTGTAGCTTTGTGCTTAATTACAAAACAAACAAATAAACAGACAGTGTGAGTACAAAAGAAAGGAGCCTACGGAGAACCATGATCGCCAACGTTTATACTGGATATGACACCTAGTGAGAGAACGGAGAACCATGATCGTTTATACTGGATATGACACCTAGTGAGAGAACGGAGAACCATGATCGTTTATACTGGATATGACACCTAGTGAGAGAACGGAGAACCATGATCGTTTATACTGGATATGACACCTAGTGAGAGAACGGAGAACCATGATCGTTTATACTGGATATGACACCTAGTGAGAGAATGTGTTTATACTGGATATGACACCTAGTGAGAGAATGTGCTTATACTGGATATGACACCTAGTGAGAGAATGTGTTTATACTGGATATGACACCTAGTGAGAGAATGTGTTTATACTGGATATGACACCTAGTGAGAGAATGTGTTTATACTGGATATGACACCTAGTGAGAGAATGTGTTCATACTGGATATGACACCTA